GATGGATGGATGGATGGATGGATGGATGGATGGATGGATGGATGGATGGATTCTTTTATGTTCTGTAGAGGTCTGATAATCACTCATTTGTTGGAGCAGAGAAACAAGTAAAACATGCAGGACTGCGGCCCTCGAGGACCAGGATCGCCCACTTCCCTAAGAGTATGTGAATCGGCAGCTAACAGTTTATCCACATACATGTTTACTCACATTTTTWTACAATAGTTAGCTTCTGTAAGTGAAATGTTTAAATTACTCCATAAACATGACAGAATACGGTATTACTAAAATGTATTGTAAGCCAACTAAAGGATAGGTCACAGATGAACCAARCAATGATGCTAACAAAACGAGTTGTTTTTCAGTTTACCTGAACACACGGCGGTGGTGTCGGCGTCCTTTTCAGTGTCGGAACAGCATCGTCTTTCAGCGACAGTCTTGTTATCAGTCCTCTGTTAAATTCCCTYTTGTTCAGGAAGCAGTCATCCGTAAAGTGGCTCGCGCAAATAAATACATGTTTTTTAATCTTACGTAAGTTACATCCAAAGATGAAGTCCAACCATTTTTTAAGAACATTGTCATCGTTGGGAAGTTTAAAAAGAGGGTCGTCTCCTTGGCATCCGAAAATACATTTCCTCATAGGCATTTTTTTTAATCCGAAAAGGACTGAAGAAGAAAGAGCTCAGTAGACGCACGGTTTCACCAAACGTTTGCTWTTGTTCCTGCTATTCTTCTTCTTGTTGTTGTTTTTATTAGCGGGTTGGCAAAAAACTACGCATTACCGCCACCTACTGGTTTGGGGCGTGGCTCAAAATATTGTTTTATACCTGCATTATAGATTATTTTACAGTTAATTAACTTTGTTTCCAAAAAAATCTAACTAAAATTGGAATAGGTTTATTTTCTAAATTCCCCTGTATAATATTTATTAAATTTACCATTATTATTAAATTTAAGAGAATGATTTAGGATAATTTGTTGTAGAAAATATGTAAATGTAAGAATTGTTGCTCAAGGTGTTAAACCTTTATTGATTTTTTCTTTTTCATGTTTTTTTTTGTAACTTGAAGTCACAATCACTGCATAATGTGGAATTCATGGCACTTTGAGCCAAAAATGATAAGCTACAGGTAAACAAAACGTCTAAATACAACTGTGGTGTCTGCAAGAATAACCAACCGATGAATATGATTGGTTTTGATATATTATTATTGAATGGTTTTTCCTCCTAAAATTGAATGGTTTTTCCTCCTCTTAGTAAAACTGAAGGAGCCATGTTCCAGTGACGTCTAACTGCCTCTTCGTTAAACCTACAAAAATCTGCTACCAACTTTACTGGTTTCCCTGACTAAAAAGAAACAAAGCTGTGTCCAAATATCTGCTAAGAACATTTTGGAGTCAACCAGCAGTCCTCACCTGAGTGCACAACAGGTGAGTTCTGGTCGAGTTCAGCACAAAACAAACGTCTATCACAGAGGTCTGGCTCTCCAGAAACAGTTTCAATCAGTGGTTCCCAAACTTTTTATCTTCTGACCCACAAAATATTCATGGCAAAAACTTATGACC